GGGAAAACAAATATACAGACAAGAGAGAGAAAGCAGAACAAGGTGTCAGACAAGAGAGTTTCAAAGGTATAAACAGGGAGTGTTAGTGTACTAATCGACAGTAAGCTGAACAGACATTAGAGACAGAGAGAGGATTGAAAATCAAAGATAAAAAAATAAAAAATAAGTAATGAAAGAATATCATATATAAAAATGAATTAAAATAAAATGGAAAATAGAAAATTAAAAAAAAAACCAAAAAAACTTCCAAGTTTATATGCAATGCAATTTCAGTCTTAATAATTTGGGTGTCCGTCTCAATCTCCAGTCCTGGAGTTGGTGCCTCAGATGTTGTTCTGTAGTTGTCTCATCAAAGGGGATGCATAAAGTAGAACAAAACTACACACACACACACACACACACACAGAAAACAAAAAAAGCCCCACCAAGTGTCCCCAGTTCAAATGCAATACAGTTTCAGTAAGTTTTTGGCTTGCAGGTGTAATTCGGTTGTTCTCATCAAAGGTAGGGAGAAAAAAGAAAAAAAAGCGTCTGGAGACAGTTCTGAGAGTGGTATCTGCAACTGTGGCTTGCCTGCCTGCTGCTCTCAGCCTGTAGCTGGCGGCGTTATTTATGCAGATCTCTGGGGTGAGCTAGCACTCACCTGGTCCCACAGGCTTTGTTTGCTCAGAGTTCTCCTGTGCGAGCCTCTGCTACAGGCTTTCCCTTTCCAAGCACTGGGAAAGGTGACACTGCCCCGCGTTGTCAGGCCTGCGTGTTTATTTACAGTTCACGTGGGAGTGGTCTTCCCTCCTCTCTGTGGAGTTTTCCTCCCTCGCTCACAAGGTTTGCTCGGTTCTGGTGCGCGCCCGCTCCCGCCAGAGCCTCTCCGGCCACCGGCTTGTTTATTTACAGTCCCGGGAAGGATTCCCTTCCCCCAATCTTCAGCGCTCAGGGCGCCCCACCCTCTTTCCAGCGTGTCTTAACTGTTCTTATTCTTATTATTCAGTTTCTCTTTTTTCCCGGTGGAGGTCGCTGTCCAGGGGCTAATGCTGCTCTGCGCCCAGGCTTGTCTGTGGGGTACTGCGGTACCGGCGAAGCTCACCTGGTCCGCGTCTTCCCAAGCCATATGGGCGCTGGCCACTGGCGGCCCCGGGGGCCCTCCTCGTTTCTCCGTTTAACGTGAAGTGGAGATTCTCTGCACCGGCTGGAGATGTGGAGGGGTCAAAGTTATGCCTTTTCTCAGTGATTATGCCTGCAAAGTGTGTCTCCAGCGTCTCTCCAAGATTTCACTATAGGAGGGTCGCTTTCTGCTTCCTACCTGTAGCCGCCATCTTGGAATCCTCATCTCAACCTCTTGATTACTATAATGGAAGATAGCATAGGTATATGAGGTGCTCCAACATGTTAAGAATACTGAGATAACTAAGAGCTCTACCTAGAAGCCAAACAAATCAATCACGTGACCCAGCTTCAAGTCAGGTCTAGCACATAGTGCCAGCTGGTTCTATAAAATGGATAACAAGTAGCCAGGCACTGGTGGTTTAAGCCTGTAATCTTAGCTACTAAGGAGGCAGAGATCAGGAAGATTGTGGTTCAAAGACAGCCTCAGACAAACAGTTTGCAAGACCCTATCTTGAAAAAATCCAACACAAAAACAGGGCTACCTAGCAAGCATGAGGCCCTAAAAATAGCACCTCCCCAAAAAATGGATAACCACAACTAGCAGTGTGAAGTCCCCCTCTTAACAGAAAAAGAAATTGGTTCTTGATATGCTGGCTATGATAAAAATTGAAAGAAATTGCAAATTAAATATATGAATGTTATTAAGCATAGCCTTACTTTTTCACCATCTGCCAAACTCAAATGGTATTGACATTGTACTACTCAAATTTTAAGAGATTGGCAAACTTACAACCTTATCAATAGGTAGGTAGGTAGACAATTAATAGGTATGATATTGACATATAATATGATATGTTATCTATTTGGATCTCATAAGAAAAATGTTGAAATCAGAATCCTCTTGTGCTATCAGGGTCTGCTGCACCAAAGTCTTTGTCTCATGAATGAGACAGGGAGAAGTCCTAAGTTGTTTGCCAGAGAAGTAATGTGATCTAAAGTTTTTATCCATTTACCCACAAAAGTTGCTCTTTCTCTATGCTAATTAGGTGTGCAGAAAGCAACATTCTGATTGGTTGTGCCCTTTAAACCTTAAGGGTTTGAAATTCCTACTAGTCTTCTGTGTCCTCATTCTGGTCCATCCTGCTTTTCCAAATTCTTCCCTCCCCTTAAGGTCACAGGGAGTCATAATGGAGTTTTTCAGAAGACCTTCTGTCCTAGCTATACTAATTTTAGCTAACTGCCTACCTACTTGATTAATACGTTATCCACGACTCAATTCTCATTTCCAAACATTATGAAGTGTTTTCCTTCAAATTATTTTTATTGGTTCTTGACTATTATAAGCAAAATGATAGAAAAATAGTAAGCTTGAGTCAAATCACTTGCATTTTATTTCATAAAATTCATTTGTAACTGCATTAAATGAAAATTCAAAATTAGAGATATATTTTAAGAAATTATTAATAGAGGCATGTATAGACTTTAGTACCATGCATCTGTTTCCTACAAAGCATTGTTCTGTAAGACACTCTAATAAAGTGACTTTGATGAAACAAGTAAAATGGAAAATATAAATAGACAATTTTATCCCTTTTCCAGTAGTTGAGGAAAAAGGCTGGAAAAGATTAGAGGAAGCCATGTTCTTTTTTTGGTTTTCTTTGAAGTACTGGGGTTGGAACTCAGAGCCTATACCCACTCCATCAGCCCTCTTTTGTGAGGGTTTTTTTTCAAGATAGGGTCTCACAAACTATTTGCCTGGGCTATCTTCAAACTATGAACCTCCTGGTCTCTGCCTCCTGGGTAGCTAGGATTACAGGAATAAGCCACCAGCACTGGGCCATATTCCTTTTTTGAGGAATGTTTTCTGAGGTCATAGAGGAGAAGCATTATCAGATAAAGTGAACCTGTAAGGACTGGGCAGACATTTTATGCAAGTGAAAGACCAAAGAGCATATACAAGACAAAGTATTAAGCATTTTTGTTTGGGTTTTTTTTTTTGTGGTACTAGGATTTGAACTCAGGGCCCACTCAGTGACTCTGAGTCACTCCACCAGCAATTTTTTGTGAAGGATTTTTTTCAAGATAGTGTCATCTTTGAACCTTGATTCTTCTGATCTCTGCCTCCATAGGCAGCTTTATTTATTTATTTATTATTTTGACAATACTGGGGTTTGATCTGAGGGCCTCCCTGGAGTTTGCTAGGCAAGCTTTCTACCACTTGAACCATACTCCAGCATCGTGTGGGCAATTTTAAGTGAAAAACTTATTATATCAATTCAGTAACAGAACTTCCATTCATTCTACTTTATAGTAATTACCCTTTTAACAAAAATAAATTATATGTTTATTTTAAATACTAGATTTGTATAATGTTTAAAAAATTGCCTTGTCTTTTTTATAGCTGTGTAAAAAGATTTCATAGATAGCCAGTGAAATTTAGCACAGAATAAGGCTTAAGTCTTCAGGTACTTAAAAGAATACATTTAAGTCAGTTTTATGTTTTTACCCTTTATTTTATAAAAATAGAGACAAAAAAGTTTAGGAACTTTGAAGTAATATATTCTTTTAACACATGAAATATATCTTTTAAAATAATTAAATTATTTAACCTTTGCTAAGTCATAATGAAGATTAACAAAAATTAACACAATTTACAAATAATTTTAATATTCAGGCTAACCATCCTTGCAGATAAGAGTTTATTATGGAAATTCTAGCAGACTTTTTACTGCTGACATCATTGTGTTATTTGAATTAGTCTCCTGGGACTAGAAGAAAAGGCTCACAGCAATTCATAAATGAATCGTTCTCTCTTGTGTAACATTATATGTCCTGTTGAAACACTAATTTTCCACTTCTTTTCTTGTTGAAATTAAGCCTTGGGGGGAACTTCGTAGTTAACTAGTGATATTAAATTTTGAAATAAAGGAGTAAGATATTATACTTAATAGTCATCTTTTGTGTTCCTTATAAACATTTATTTTTATAGTATGCAACTTAAAGCTAAATTATCATAGCTATTTCATATCATAACAGTGAACTCTATGTACTCTTAAGCTAAAATCAGACAAAACATAAGCTAAGGCAATTTTCTATTTATAGTTTTAACAATGCTCTGCTATAAATTCTTAATGATTAGGTGTGCTAAGAAGTTTGAGAAGACTATTTGATAATTAATACATGTTTCATTGGAAAGGAAAAACATGTCCTGTGTATCCCACTATAGGGATTAACATCCTAATGTTGTGGTTTACTGATAAGAGAGGTCTCAGTGGTCTTAGCCAGTCACTTACCAGGGAATCTGAATTTTCTGGATCAGTTCTTCTGCACTTAACTTTGTAGTTTAAATTACTAAGAAGGCTAGATGTTCCATCTGGGTAATATCAGAGTGGCACTAGCATCCCAATAGTGTCTCACACAGAAGATTGTTGTCTTTCACACTCTGGGTGAGGCCCTGTTATTAAGGCAGTTTTCTATAATGTAATTGTCTCTAAGGTGGTCATCCGATTCATCTTCTCATTTGATCCTGTACTCCAAGCTAAATCTTCATTATGTGTGTCAAGTAGACAAGAAAATAACAAAAATGCTGACTTGGCCCTAACTGAATCACCTTTGGCAATACAATTTGCTACAACTTTTAGCAAAATCTATTAACTTCACACATATGAACAGTCCTCTTGGGTGATTTTTAGCAAGTGTAATGATTAATAATTACTATCAAAATCCAATTTGGTAAAAACATAATACAAAATGATTTATGCTCTATGGTTAAAATGTACTAACAGTGAAATATTTTCAGGAAAAAAACCTTGTAGTCTAGAATGTCTAACATGAGTGTATTAAACAAAATGTCTCCCTTTATCTTCTTATAGCCAATTGGTGCTTTGAATCCAAAGAGAGCAGTGTTTTACGCAGAGCGTTATGAAACATGGGAGGATGATCAAAGCCCGCCCTACCACTATAATACACACTATTCAACAGCAGCATCTACTTTATCCTGGCTTGTTCGAATTGTGAGTATCTTGCTTAAGTTTGCCATTAATATCATAAAGCTTTTAGCATAAGTAAATTAAATAAAAATCAAATTCACTTGCTATTCATTTTAAAGATTAGAGATCAGTGAAGTAGAAATTAAAGATTCCAAAGTTTTGTAAAAACTGAATCTGTTTTTGTTTTGTTTTGTTTTGATATTTGAGACAGGGTCTCACTAGGTAACCCAGGCTGTCCTCAAACTGAAGAGCCTCCTCCATCAGCCTCCCAAGTGCTAAGATTACAGGTGTGCCCCCACCACACCTGGCCTTAAATATTTTTTTTACATGAATTGTCTTATTGCAGAATTGGGTTAGGAATATAATTTATTTTGAGTTTTTTAAACCTAAGTTATTTATTTATTTATTTATTTATTTACTTATTCATTTGTGCATGCATACTGGTATTTGAACCCAGAGCCTAACACATGTCAGGCAGGCACTCTGCCAGTGAGCTTCCCTCCACATCCCAGCTCCCTAAATCAGTTAGTTATAAAGGAAACAAGCCATTGGAGTATACTCTTAACATTCCCTGCTTCTTTCTAACTAAGGACATACATTGACGTTACTCTTCCCTAGTCTTCTCACTCTTGATTCTTGGGCATATGTTTTGTTGTTTTTTTTTTCAGAAGATTCTAATAACTTTATTTGTTTATTTATTTGGTAGCATTGGGGTTTGAACTTGGGACCTCACATTTGTTTGGCAGGTACTCTACCACTTGAGCCACACTGCCAGCTGGGCAGTATGTTTTAAAAACAATTTCCAAGTATTTTGAAGACTTCTTTCCATTACTTTCTCTTTCTCCTAAGACATAAATATATTCAAATCTCTCCAACCTTTAAAATATAAAGCCATTTTCCAGCCCCACCCTGTCTGTAGTTCCTTGCCTTTGTAGTCACATGGATGGAAAGCACAGCATCTGCTGAACTGCAGGGCTTGATCCTGGCTGCCTTTCCTGGGATCTTCAACCTGATTGAGTTAGGTTCTGTACCCCTCACTTTACTGAATTGTTCTTACTGTGTGGATAGAATGTACCATTTCTTACCCAACATGGCTTTGAAGCACTTGACACCATTGCTTATTTCCTCCTCCTTGAGATTCGTACCTCTCATGGCTCCTCTGATAACATCTCCTGGTTTTCTTCTATTGCCCCTACTGGCCTGCTCAGTCTCCTGCTTAGGTTTCTTTTCCTTGATGTTCCTCTTTGCCAGAATCTTTCTATATACTCTGCCTTAACTGTCTCATTCAACTACAAAATACTGATTTCCAGCTTCTGTCTTCATTGCAAACATTTCTCATAGATCTCTGACTTATATTTCCAAGTGCCTACTACCTACTTCTCCCTGAACATCTCATAGTACCATAAACACCATTTTAAAAAGTTAAACTTATCTTCCTCATGAATCTGCTGTGGGTCTTCCCACTTTTCTTAATTAACTGATATCATCATTCACATAACTGCCTGATCTATAAATTGATATTTTCTCTATTTTACCATTCCTTACATCCAAACAGTTGGTAGCTTCTACCAACTAAATAGCTCTATAATCTGTCTCCTTTTCTCTTTTAAACTCTGGCACTTCTTTTGTTCAGGTTCCCATTATTTCTCACGTAGACTACAGCAAAAGCTCTTAATAACTCTCCTTGCTTTTTCCAGTGTAGTCCAGTTAGAAGCAGTTACTGGAGTCAAAAGGTCTGGTTTCATTTCTTTCCCTTTCTTTTCTCCTTCCTTTCCTTTTCTTTCCTTCCTTCCTTCTGTCCTTCCTTTCTATAGTACTCCAAGGAGTACTATAGAATGCTAAATCAAATCAGTAGTGTTTCTTCCCTTACCAAGATATACTTCAAACCCCTATTGTATGAGGCTGATATGCCTCAGAAACACAGTGATAAAGCGGCATACGTGAAAATGTATCTGTTATTTTCAAAGGTCTTATTTTATGCATCTCTTATTTTTTTTGCTAAACCTAAAAGACAGCTTTAGTTTGAAGGCCTTCCCAAGCATTCTATCCATTTATGTTAGTCAGCTTTCCATTGCTATGAAAAAATACCCAAGATAAGCAACATAAAAGGAGGAAAGGTTTATTTTGGCTCACAGTTTCAGAGATTTCAGTCCATAGTTGGCCCAGTCACTTTGGGGTCTGTGGTGAGGAAGAGCATCACACAGTGAGAGCATGTGGTAGAAGAGGCTGCTAAATTCATGGTGGCCAGGAAGCAGACAGAGAAAAAGAAAGAACCAGGGCCTGGGACAAATATACCTTTCAAAGTCATGTCCCAAGTGACCTGCTTCCTCCAGCTAGGCCCCACCTCCATGGCTGCAGCCAAGCCTGTGGTACATGGCCTTTCAGTGACATGACGTGTGCACACCATAGCACCATTATAGAGAGAACCTGAGCCAACGAAATGTAGTATATTTTTTTTAAGCTAACTCGTAAACCACTAATAGGCGATGCACTACAAATAATTGCTGTTAATGAAAAGTAGTTTGTCAGAATTATGACTCAGTTTAATTGAACATGTTTTTTTAGCATTTATAATCCTGTACCAGTATAAGTTATTGGTACTTAGATTAATTAATCTATTAAGAAAACCAATCCAAATCTTACTTTAAAAATAAACTCTGTAATCATAAACTAAAGGTAAAGACATAAAACTATTATTTCTTTCTGAAGACCAAAGTTATTAAATTAGTCTAATTTATCCAAAGGTTCAGCTTAATTGTGTGACATTGGATTCTTTTATTATGATGATTCTGGGTTAAAAAATTGTTAATTTGGTGGTGGTACTAGGGTTTGAACTCAGGGACTTGCACATGCCATTTTTTCCCTGAGAGGCCTTTTCATACCACCCATGAGTGACAAGTCACTGGCATAGTGAGCCACAACCACACAGGGAGTGGCATTTTGCAGATGGAGAAAAAGAGCCAGGGGCCATATCTAGGAGAAAAAAAAGTATCAATTGGGTTGCAACAGTATTTTGAAATATATAAAATGACATTCTGTATTTATTATGTAAGCAAATTAGTCAAATCTGGAGCAAAATTTACAAGATTTATTCAAGTGTGAGTCTACAAAAACACTTGCTCTCAACCACCTGATTTAAGTTAACACTCTTATACCAAATAAGCTAAACACTTTCTCAAATCATAAATCATTATTCATCCTTCAGTTGATTTATTATTCCAGGGAAATGGAAGATGAATTTGAATCTATACAAGGGAATGACAGAATATTCTACTACTTTATTTATACTTTACTCAGCAATGCTACACAAGAAATGTAACTACAAGCTGCTTATATATAGTTTCTTATGTCCATATTTAAAAGATATAGATGAAATTAATTTCAATAAATTATTTGTTAAGCAAGCATATCCAAAATGTATTATTTGAATATGTAGCCAATATAAAAATTTTTTCACATTTTGTATTTTTGTTTATTTTTGAAGTCCAAAGTGCCTTTGATATTTACAGCACATCTCAATTTGAACTAGTAATATTTAAACTGCTCCATATTCACATGCAGCTATTGGCAACTATGACAGACAAAAAAAATCTACATAGTTACTTTTATGGGGATTCATTTTAGCATAAACGTATTATGTCATGCTATTATTAACACAAGTATTGTGGTCTAACAGAAAAATGAATGTTTAACCTAATGACCCACAGAACTGTGATTTCCTCCCTCCTATTCCAAGGAGTTTATGAAGTAAAAAATGCATTAAAATTGTGTCACTAAGAATTTGTTCATAAAAATACAATGCAGATGAAAAGTAAGTATCTATCCTTTACCTTTTAAGCCTTTTAGACCTAAAGTAAGTCATTGAGCTCATTATAGTTTGTCAATGTACTTAGTGTGACAATAATTATTGCATTAAAATGCTAATTAACTACAGTGTACCTCATTACTTTAAATTAAAAATATTTCTTTAGACAAACTACCAGTAAAATCAGTTGTCTAACTTCTAAGACTCTAGAAAGACTGTTCCTTGATGTTTTTCAGACAAATGATGAGTAAACAATCATTTAAGTTTGGGATTCCTTCAGATGATAACTAAAAAAAAAAGACATTTTAATGGGAAAGTTTTTGCTTTAAGCCTTATCCTGGGTTTAAAACATCCACCTGAAAGAAGTTGATGTTAGTGGCCATTTCAACCCTCAGTAACCAATTCACCTTCCAGTTCAGTATATTCAGACTTCCTATTCAAAACTCATTTCTCAGACATTTAGTAATAATAATTCAGGGGAGGTGGCCCAAACATGTCAGCAAATGTAAAAATGATAAAATAAATAATAATAATTCTTAGGAAGATAAATAGATTGTGTTTTTCAAAAGTTTATTTATAAATATGTTGTTTAGAATTTGGAACTTTCTTTGTAAGTTATGGGTTTGTTTTTTGAAAGCATACCCAAGAGTTTCTTTATACCATAATGTATTTTTGTGTGTGTGTATGGGACTGAGGTTTGAACTCAGGGCTTCACTCTTGCAAAGTAGGCACTCTGCCACTTAAGCCACACCTCCAGTCCATTTTGCTCTGGTTATTTTGAAGATGGGGGTCTTGGGAATTATTTGCCTGGCTGGCCTGGAACTGTGATCCTCTTGATCTTAACCTCCCAAGCAACTAGGATTGCAGGCAGGAGCCACCAGCACCCTAATGTATCTTTAAGGTACATATTTATAATAAAAAGAAATAAAAGCACTTTTTCAAGTGCTTTTAAATTATAATTAAAACCAAAACTAATGCTACTGAATAAAATATTTTTGCTGTTTATTTTGAATACTGATGCTTCAGGACAATGCATATTTATGTAGAGGAAAATGAGGAATATTTAATAAAGAACCTATTGACTAGAAGACACATAGATTAATCAATAGAGACTTTTAGAAGATTCTGAAATTTACTCCTGGGTTCTTTCAAAAGAAATGGGAGAAAATAAATTTCTGGACTCAGGTAAAGGTCAGTAGAAATAATAGTTGCTCCATTCCCTAGAACATGACTTTGAATTTTCTCAGATGTAGAAAGTAATTATAACTACATTGGAAGATTATAGTGAGGATTATTAACTGAGATAACCTAGTGCCTAGTACATAGGTGCTCAGTAACTATTAGTTCTCTTTTGTCTTCATTGTGCTTAATATCACTTAAGACTTACATCTTTTCTTGGCTGTTGTTACCTTGAAAGCACTGCCTAATACCCATGGATAGGGTTTGGTTTTAGCTTTTCAATGGAATGAAGAGAAAGGAAAGAAGAAAATTATAAGGAAAGGATCTTTTAAAGATTCTTATGAGATGATTAAGCAAAAATCCTATAAGACATAAAAATAAAGGAGTTGGATAAAGAGAAGAGGGAACAGAGCAAGCATATTGGATTGACCAGTATGGAATTAATTTGCAGTCATTAAAAGGCAGGAAAGATTGTAAGTGTCCTTGGAAGGGACTAAGGGGTATGAGAAAATACAACAGGACAAGTGTTAGGTTGATTTTCCATCATTGGAAAAGGATTGGAAGTTATGAAGTGAACTTTGGAGTAGATGTAGTTAGGGGAAGAAAGTCAGCCATTGGCCACTGATATTTCAGGACCTGACCTGAAAGTTTTAAAGTCCAATAAGTGCCAATATTTTAATTTCATAAAATTGCTGCTTAATATTTATTCATTTATATATCTTGTCAACCAAGCTGAAAAAGTTTCTATAATAATGATAAAATATCTCATTTCTATGGACCCATAGAAAATGGTTCAATCAACAGGTATCAAGTTAATAAACATAAAAGTTCCTTAAGCTGCATAAACCACTTGGTCTTCTACATTAGTCAGGCATGAGTCAAATGAAAAAGGAAGATTTTTACACAGTACCTTGAAGTTAATCGGGAAACACATGAAAATGAGTAATCTCCACAGTGATCAGAGCTTGGCAGCTCAATACTCACTTAAAAGCAAATAGGTTATCAATTTCTATTAGTGCTCTACCACTAGAGCCTCTGGAGGCCTTCAGAAATCATGAGAATATACATCAGTAATGCAGTATGTGGCCCTGAAATAGTTGTTAATCAGATATTAAAAGCTACTGAAGACAGTGAAATTTGGAATTCTTCAAGATTGTCTTCTTTCTAGTGCCACCAGATTAAAAACTTTGTAACCAGAAATAAAAATAAATTCTCAAAACACTTGTTTTTACTATGCCAGTCAGTGCTGTTCTTAGAATGCCCGTTGTCAAGGGTTGAGTTTTCAACCCTTAAAAAGGATTTCATCATTTAGGTTAGGGTAGAAATCAGCTTTTAGTTGCTGGTGATAAGAAATAAGCCTTTGCATGTATAAATGAGTCATCACTTACCTCTGTTTAATAGGTCAAAAAATGTAGACATAGTCTAATCCTCTAAATCAATCTCTGCCTACTACCTACAGAGAAAAAAATAAATGTCTTGCAACCTAGAATACTAAAGAACTGAATTCTGAAGATTATAACTTTTTGGTCAAACTTCTGGTGCTTAACAACTGAAAAGAAAAGCTATTATCTTATTCCCCCACCCACACATGTCCCCATCTCTCAAGTATAACCCTGTGTTAGGTATGTTCAACAGACATTTTAAACACTAACTATAAGCTTAATCCTGAAATACAGAAATGAGTAAGACCTAAGGAACTAAATATCTAGTCAGGGAGTCCAGTGAACTGGCAGTCTGGTGGGGAGTCCAGCAATAAATACTTGGCACAGTGAAAAATGCTGGTAGTCATTTTATAGCTCTGTGTCAGGTAAAATACATCAAGCTTTAATCTTAAAGCTTAATTTACTCTTATCTAATTCCCATAATTATCCCCAAGGTATTGTCAGTCCCAGTTTACATAGATGAAGAGAGACACAGTACTTGACACAATTACTTATGGTAAAATAATTTTCCCAAGATAGAGAAATAGTTCCACCAAAATCCAAACTTGTATCTGTCATATTTCACTCAATTATCATGTACTTTTAGAATATTTATATTAATGTTGGTTAATTTAGTAACCATATATATTGTATTCACTACCTGATTTTCAGTAGTGAATTGAAAATTTATAAAGCAAATTAATTAATGAAAGATGTCCCATGAAATTTTCATTCCTAACCTAATTTTGTGTCATCTGTTTATCTCTCCTATCACTTCAAATCTTAAACAGCAACATGGGCTTCTTAGGTGCATATCTGATTTTCAGGTGAATTAATAATGCCCTTTCAGGTATATTATTATAGTATTCTTTCTTTTTTTTTTTTTTTCCATACTCTGGTTTGAACTTAGGGCCTACACCTTCAGCCACTTCACCAGTTCTTTTTAGTGATGAGTTTTTTCGAGATGGGAGTCTCTCGAACTATTTGCCTGGACTGGCTTCAAATGGCTATCCTCCTGATCTTTGCCTCCTGAATAGCTAGGATTACAGGCATGAGCCACTGGTGCCCAGCTGCTATGGTATTCTTAATCTTGTCTCTTTCATCTTAATTTATGTCATTCAGTACTAAACATGAATTTTTACATTATATGTGTAAAATACATTATAACGATAAAATTAGTGGCACCTAGCCACACTAACTTTTAGGATGATATTGAGAAGGATGAATATTTGTAGTCATTGCCAGTAGCCAACCTTTAAGGTTAGGGGCAAGGAAGGGAATTTAGAAGGGCAAAGTAATGTTTAATGCACTCAAAGGAATGAAAAGAAATTACATATTAAAGAGAAAAGACAAATGTTTAAGAAAATATCATGTATATTTCTTAGCATTATTGAACTTGGAAATGACATATCATTTATCTGACCTTAAGAGAGAATTAAAGCATACCAAAGGAAATATGTATTTACCTTTGGTATACTTGTAAGTAACTAAGAAATCCTTAGAAAGAATGAATATTACTTAGTCCTTTTGAAGTCAAAGGAAACTTAATGACATCAAAAACAATGCCTCCAGGGCCAGGCATGGTAGTGCTGGGTTGTGTAACTCTATATGGGAATCTCGAGATAAGAGAATAGGGGTCTGAGACCTGCCCAGGCAAAAGTGCAAGACCCTATCTGAAAAGTAAACTAGAGCAAAATGGCCCAGGGACATGACTCAAGCAGTAGAGCACTTGCCTAACAAGTGCAAGGCCCTGAGTTCAAATTTTAGTCCTGCCAAAAACAAACAAACAAAAACACCCCAATACTTCCCTCTCAACATAAAGACTACAGAACAAGCATTAAAATTAAATGCATTAGGATGTTATGTTAAGGTTTCCTGCTGTGGAAAGACTTCCGGGATGACAGACACTATTAACCAAAGGTAACAGTCACAAAATACAAGGACTAGGGTTTTTCCAGTCTCATTTGCACTTTGTTTCATTCCTTTATTCGACAGATTATGTATGAACAACTTCTGTGTACCAGGAGCTATGCTTAGTACTGGAGAAAACAGCAACTAAGATAGACACAGAACTCTCTCATTGCTGGGTATGGAGACAAGTTAGTTGTCAAGTATAACACAATGATAAATGTTCAGTGCTGCTTGAGGAAATACAGTCTGCTGTGAGCATATAGGAGAATCTTGGTAAATCCACAGTCTTTCAGGGGAAAGTGGCATCTTGGCTGAAATTTACAAGATAAAAAGATAGAAACATGAGGGAAAGGGATGTTTACACCTGGCAGAGAAAATGTTACACACAAAGGACTAGCTTGATGAGACCTTGGAACATATGGACGGGAGTGGTGAGAGATAAGATTTAAGAGATTCTAGGTCATTCCATTTCTCGTAAGACAAATTAAATATTTAGACTTTCTCCTTAGAGCCCCCCAGAGCTGTTAAAGATACAAAGCAGGAGTTTGCATTTTTTTAAAAGATCATCAGACCACAGCATGGAACTCTTGAGTAGCCTTTCCCAGTAATTTCAGATGGACACTGCCCACCGAATTCCACACCTCAATGAACAATGTCAGAATGACTTTTCTTATTGCAGTGTTAGTATGTAGGGGCCTTAATTATTAGAAACAAAACTGAGTTGTGAGTGTCATGCAAAATCATTCATCATAAGATTATAGAACTCTAGAACCCCATTACTTTATAGATCAAAAAACAAGCCCAAGAAGCCCAAGAACTTGCCAAAGTTGCAAAGCACAGGTGCCAAGATGTCCCAGTCACACCCAGACCTGTGTCACTGACACCTTAGTGCTGGCATTTTTCTAGGGCTCTATGCTTTTTCCACTTCAGGAGGGTCTCAAAGATATTCGTACAAAGGTATGGGGACTGCTGGGTTTCAAATGGTCACATTCATGATTCTGTTTTTTTGCTTTAGGAACCTTTCACAACCTTCTTCCTCAATGCAAATGAAGGAAAATTTGACCATCCAGATCGAACCTTCTCATCAATTACCAGGTCTTGGAGAACTAGTCAGAGAGATACTTCTGACGTAAAGGTAGGCTCTTTTATTTGTTAATATTAATTGAATTCCAAATTTTGTAGAAATTTAAATTTTTTCATTATGCGGATATATGACATTTTATATTGCAGCTTGTTCAATTGTATTAAAATTACATAAAGGAAATAATGTTGAGCACCATAAAAAGTATTTCAGGATTTTTTTTATATTAGTCAGTTGAAGTGTTTTCGTTGTTTCAAGAAATTCCTATCTAATTTAGATGGAATAATCAGGAGATGGAAAGAAAATCCTACAAATTGCCTTTCCTGCTGTTCACTCAATATTTGGTCTATTCCATAAAACACAGCGGGAATTGGATTTGACCTTAATGTGTCATATTGTTGTAGCTTGCCCAGCTTTGGTTTGTGTAGCCTGGGGCAATTAATAAAGAATTAATGACAAGACCCATTTAAAATGTAGGCTTTTCTGTACAGCCTTAGCTTTTACTCGACTGTGCCTGGGGATACTATGCAACAATACACATTAGATTAAACCAGCACATACACAATATCCAGGAACAGTGAGAGCAGAGTAATTTTACAGTTGGTACTACTTCACTGTTGTTAAACACAAATATTTGTTATTCATTTATATGAGCTCCTGTTTTAAGAAAAGGAAAAGATTGTACTTGAAACAATAAAATATGTTGAATGCATGAGAAAAATGCATTTTCTCATTTTTTTCCCTGATAATAAGATTACACGATCAGCTTATTGAACTGGTAAAGGAAAATTCCTTATTTAAAACCCTTTGTCATTATGCCAAATTTTTTCTCATTGCTGTTACCCAATATAAAAATATTATGCCACCATTCCATCTATGGTCTTAATCCAATAAAAGACAGTGAGTGAAAGTCAAATTTTTCATTTACATATATGTGCTTATCTAGTGAAAACATTTATACAAGATAATTATAGTGTTACTAAACTAAAAAGAAAATTGCATGAATTCAAACTTTTGTTTATCTTTTCCAAAGCAAAAAAAGAAAATGGAACCAAATAGAGCATAGCATATCCATGTTTTATTTGTTGCTCTCAACTTTACATAAGTGAATATTAATTTATATATATAACTTATTCACATATAGAAAAAATAAGAGAATTTAACCTGTAACTCTTCTATATTAAACTCTGAAGGCCCACACTTTTCTTCTAACAATCATAACTTTTCTGAGGAATTAAACTGTAAAATATCTATAAGCCATCATTTAAACTGATTTATAGTAAAATCAAGGAAGGAGTCTATTTCTTTTTAGTAATACTTTGAGAAATACAGAAAATGTAAGTCCATAGGCTTTCAATAGAATCTCAAATTAACACATTTTCAAAAGCACTGAAATACTTTGTGAATTAAATATTCTTATCTATAATTAAAGGCTTCCTACCATATTTATGATTATTTATATCTTAAGTCAGAGCTATAGCCTTATTGTGTCAAGTGAACATGCCTGTTCTCTGTTACTTGACATCATCACAAGAAAGAAAATTGGCTTTTCAGCTTAATTCAAAGATCCATCCTCACATTCTCACACACATACTGGGTCAGTCATTCTGCTTATATATGTAAATACAATTTTAAACTTTACTTTCTATTCAGAGACTCTTATCAATGCTTTAGACCACCAGATACCTCAACAAAGTACATTTCAGTCTCTGGTAACCAACACCCTGTGCCAGGCTTTTTCCTTTCAATTCTTGCAGCAGTTTTCCTGCTCAGAACCATTTCATAACATTCACATTTTGTTGCTAATTGTGCTACCTAGGCTCCTGGAGTCACATCATCAAGGAAAAGACCAATGTGGCTATCACTAACTTGGGAGGTTTCTTGTTTTTCATTCTCAGACAGCTGTACGGAGCAAACATGTACTTCCCCGCCCCACTCAGACTTAATTGGTTCATAAGGAGCTCATTTCCCCAGCTTGACATTACACAGATTGCTCTCATTTTCAATTCTCTCCTGCCAACCACCCCTGAACCTCTCATATTATATGATAATATATCTTGACTATCATGCTGTGTATACCAGTGCTTTCCCTCTTAGAGGCTGCATGCTCCACAACATACAATAATTTGTTTATGCAATCTCCTGTTGGTGGAGATTTGTGTTTCTGCCACTGTTAACCCCAAGGCTGCAGGAGCATCCTTGTATTAGCCTGTGAATGGGCTGTGTGTTGTATAGGTAAAGGATAACTCCTGTTAATGGGACTGGTAGCACAAAGGCTACATGCACTTTTAACTTAAAAAAATATTGCCAAATCATCATCCCCAAAGATAATTCCCTGCCTACAGCAGTGGGCAAGGTGCCTCCTTCCCCATTGCCATATCATGACTATTGTAATAAGCAGTGGATCTGATGAGTGAAAAATGGAGTTGTCTTTGTTTTGGTTTGCATTTCTTTGAGCACTGTTCAACATATTTTTGTGTGTGTATTTATTGACCTGTAACATTTTGGGGGGGTCTACTTTTCATTTGGGTCTTGTGTCTTTTCCCTAATGATTTGAAACTGCATAAAGTTTCATTGCAAGTGTGATTTTCTCAGTCTTTTAGCTTTATATTCCGTGTGTGTGTGTGTGTGTGTGTGTGTGTGAGAGAGAGAGAGAGAGAGAGGGAGAGGGAGAGGGAGAGGGAGAGATGTGGTAGGAGAGTGGGGGAGAAAGAGTGTCTATGTGTGTGGCCAACCAAATATATCCACCTTTTCCTATATAGCATCAGAATCTGGGTCCTTATGACACAAATATTAGAAGATAAGATTTTTGTTAATAACTAGTAGTAACTTGAATTTTTTCTGAATCCATGATTATACATATTGACTAAAAGTGTACAGTAAAATAATTACTGACTTAGGGAAGAATATGTTACTAAGAATATTAATTATTTTGCTGTGTGTTAAAACCTAAACTTTTAATTTTTTATCCCAAAACTAGTAGTACAGCATTCAGTATATTTTGAAGAAAATGAGTTTCATTTCCAGAGAAGAAAAGTATGTCTGCAATATCTGCTAATGTAGATAATCCTATAGGAGAGAGCTGGAATGCAGTAGATGGTTTTATTCTGTCTCTCTCTATTAATGTCAGTCTTTTCCTGTGCTAATGAAGGCAAGCTGGGGAAGAAAGACTGTTGCTGAAGTGACCTCTCAGGAGAGGGGTCTCTGGAGTTGAGACACACCAGTTAGTTTTTATGTTTGTTTAAATTTCTCTCCCTTAGCATAGTCCTGCTACAGTGACATCCAACTTACCAAAGTTCTTACCCTAATTTTCCTTAATGCCTTCAAAAGTTGTTACATTACTTTTTGAATAGCTATGTAGATGTCAAAAAAGGTAACTGTGACAAAATCTCATTAAGGTGACATAGTGTAAATTAATGCAGTTAATGGAGGTGCTCACCACTGACTCAGTGACCCATTATGAGCTCTCATGGAATTAACGAATGCCCAGGCATCAATCTTTTGAAAAAAGGGAAGAAAAGAGATGGCAGCTTTAAAACCTTGCAGTGAATTATATTAGAAAAGTGAAAACGTCTGGGTTGGATTTGATTTCACTAGGAAGCCATAAAATGGTAACACTCTCTCAACAAAATATATTAGACTGAAATGTCAAATTTGATGCAATAGGTATACAATTATGATAGTGTTAATAGTGGTCCTCTATCATTCTAAGACATACTTTCAAGTCCAATTTCTCAGCAGCTTGAACTTGTCACAAGCTTATAAATTAGAAATTGTGTTTGAGGATATTTTCTTATTTTTGACAGAAAGCATATAATACTATTAACTGTACCGTAGGGTTTTAGGATAGCTGTTAAAATAAACTAGAAATCACATTTGTAGACACAAAATGCCTGTTACAATATTCATTTTGCCATTTCTTTACCAATATTCAGTGTCTTTCTGCACTGTTTTTCATTTAGGAAATTTAAAACTACTTGGATTTTTTCCTTAAAGAGAAGCTGATTAACAGCGTTTGTCAATGGGAAAGAATAAACAGAACAGCAGTTAGCTTAAGTAGGAAGATACTGTCTAATGTGCCTCGAAAGAATGTGGTAGACCACATTCCTTATGAATAATACTTAAAAGTCTTTAAACAGGATTTTTTGTTGATTCTTTGATACAGTCCTCAAAACAGTCTCTGTTTCATAAAGGTGGTTCCCAGAGGTTGCATGACTTGCATAAGCTCACATATGCAAGTAAAGAAGAAGCCATGACTAGCACTGTGACCACTCAGTTCTTTCTGTGCCTTCTCCTTCAGATGTCATTGTCGCTTACAGTTGTACTGCATGATCATATAATCCTATCCAGCTACTTCAACTGTTTTGGAATAATTGACCAATCAAGCTACATTCTAGTTATTCACTGTTAAGTAACTAGCCACCCCAGAATTTAGTGGCTTAAAAACACAATAATGACCACTTATGTCCCACAGGTCTGCAATTGGAGCTGGGCTTATCAGGTACAGTGTGTCTAGGTCTATATGGGGTCAGCTGCAGTGACCCATCTGAACCTGGAGTATTCGAGATATCTCTACTCATGTGCCTGACACTGTAGCAAGGATGGCTAAAAGAACAGATCTAGCTAATCCTCTGTCTTTCCAGCAAGATAACCATACTTTTTCATGGTATCTGGCTACCAGGAGGATCCCAAAATGGGAGCTGCAAAGCCACTTAATTCCCAGGCCCAGTAGTCACATAGTGTTCTGTTGGTCAGAACAAGTCATAGGACCAACCCAGACTGAGGGAGAGGAGAACTGGACTTCCACTTCCTGGTGAAATGGAGGGCAAAGTCACATTTCAAAATGGATGCTACAGGGATTGTCATGGACACCTTTGAAAACAATATACTGTAGTCCTCTCTCTGGCCACAATTCACTTACCTCCTACATGCAAACTGTACTCAACTTGTTCTCCAGAAATCTTACCCCATACTATGTGAGACTCAGAATCTAGTATTTTTGTGACCTGCTCAAGTCCAGATGCTAATTATGGCACAGCAACCCCTAATTTAGA